CTCTTCCCCCCATGCACCCCACACCTTCCCCACTGCTCCAGAGGGTGAAAGAAAATCCATAAAAAATAGGGGGTTGGGGGAGGACAGGCAGGGGAGAAGTCCTGTTGCATAAGTGGAAGTTGGCCTGATTACACAAGGATTTACCTAGCCTGTGTTGAATACAATGCTTATTCTTCAAAGAGACTCGCTGAAACCAATGGCATTTAGTCTTTCCCCTCTCTAGGACTGACCACATTTGGATCCTGTTGAGATAATATTGTTGTACATCTTTCTTTCAACCATACTGCAGAAACCTCATTCTTGAATTTTTCTGTTCTCAATCTCTCTACTCAACTCATGTTCTCTTCTCTCCTCTTCACGCCTTTCCCGTCTATGAAGGTGCAAATACAATCACTGCTTCCCAATAAAGCAGAAAATCACAATGGTAGCTGATTGTGTGTGTGTGTGTGTGTGTGTGTGTGTGTGGTGGGGGAAGGTATAAAATTGAAAATGACCTCAAATGAAGCAGTTTTATCTTGACTAGCCAGTTTCAAACTAAAGCTGAAACTTGTGTCTCAGGAGCAACCAACAATAGGTATCATTTCGCTTTCAATTAGCTTGAGGGCCTCAGCAATGTGGGAAGCAATATTGAGTAAAAGCTGAATTCTCAAGATTAAATCTTTCACTTGTAAAGATAGCCTACAACAGCACAGCCACAATGGTGCTTTAATCTCTTTTAATCAATCTTTCAAACATGTGAAACAGAATTAATCCTGCACAGCCCTTTTTTGATCAGATTGTTTGCTTAAGACCATTAGCTTTGTAATTTGTTATGATATGCTTCTTTTCCCATAAAAGTGATTATATTTAGCTCAACAAATAGATTGTACAATGAATTACCAGCCAGACAAAAAGGAGATTGCATGGTAGGAAACACTTCAAGTTCAGGTCATTTATTGTTTTGTTCTGTTTTAAAAACACATTACAAGAGTTGCAGTTCTGAACACAAGCTGACTCAATCTTGCTGGATTTATAAGTATCTGAACTTCTTTTTTGTGCAGCTGGTGGATATGTCACCATGAATATCAGCAATTTGGTAAATTTTGATATACACAAGGTTTATATGAGACAGTCAACTTTTACTTTTTTAGTGTTGTTATGACAATGAAAACTATCAACAAGTACTTGAATATTCACAAAACATGAATCAGGACATTTGTTAAATTTGAGCCATTTTCTCATGTCTCCTGATATTTGAGTCTTCATGCTAATATGTACTGCTTCTGTGGAAAACATCTGAAAATGGTCACAGTAAAGACAAGCTAGTATAATGATTACAAGTAGGGATGGCTTTTAAGAGCCCTTCTCTAAGGAGAGGAGAGGTGTTCAAAAATCCATGCTGAAGAAATTATACCTCGTTCTATTTCAGGTAATTGAGTGACTTCACTTTGTTAAACAGGGGGAGATTTAAGAGCCATCTCTGTGGTGACATCCAATTCTACTGCCAACCTAATGCCTCCATATCAACAGTTGCCATTTTGGTACTAGATCAAGACCAATTAATTCACACAGGAAGATTCAGTTTTGTGAGTAGATTGCTATGTTGTTTTTAGCTGCTTTATTTGATGATGCATTTTAGTATTTACTGTTGTTTATTTTATTATTTAGTCAGGGCTTTTTTTGTGTTTGTCCCCAGTATCCACCCTGGTATTTTTAGTTATGAAGGGTGGGCTATCAAGATTTCAAATAATAAGTTATCAAGAGACTGTGGAGGCAAATGAGAAGTCTGATTTTAAAAGTAGTTTGGAAATTACCATGCCATTTCCCAATTTTTAACAAAATGGCTAAGTATATTTGCAAGTCAATCTGACAGGTGGGTCTCTCCATTTTGAAACATCACTGAAAATTCATAGCTGATGGATTCAGTCAAGAAGAGGTAATAACAGAGAGAACAGTATCAACATAACCGCTAAGCAGCAAGATGGAAAATATGTCACATCCTGTGAGAGGAGGGATGACTTGGAAAAGTGGGATAGTATCTCCTATACAAGCCTAACATAAACATCAGTTGTTACGCCTGATGTTCCTTTTATAATAATAATAATAAATAACAACAACAACAACAATAATCACCCTACCTCAATTTCAGAGAAAGGATCAACTTTTTCTTATTAAAAACATGGGCAGGTGTTTTTGTGAGGTGGTACCCATGGGGTAAGGGTCAGTTTTAACCATGCAAGCAAGATCCTTTTTTAGGTGAAAATATCAGAGGCGTGGCCAGAAACAGCAACTTCACACAAATGTTTTCCACACAGATTTTGGTTTCTTAGTGACAATCACGCCCATTAAAAGGAATGGAAAATGAATGACTTTTGTGAATCAAAATGTTACTCTTCTTCAGTTTAATGTAGTTTTATATAAATCCTCATTGCTTGTAGTGTTGCTTTCTGGCAAGTAATATGCTTAGGACTGCAGCTGATGTTAAATGAAACTGTACGTGCGAATTTGTAAGTATAACTAATTACTAACTCCAGGTGTATAAACAAGTGACTTTCCCTTGTTTTCTTTCCACTTTAATCACAAAAGTTGATTTTAGGCAAAGATTTATCAGGTAGGAACAAAATCAATAAACATTCCATTTTAGAAAAATTGCTTTTTGATAAATATCCTTGTGGACATATAGAAAAAGTGACAACACTAAAGCTCTACTTTTCTCATAAAACAGAAATCTAATAAAGATGCCCACAAAGAAACATCCAGCAGTCTGAATAGTGTGCTTTTTCTGAGAGCTGGGAAACGAGTCAGATTTCTGAGTGTTGAATCATGAAGATCTAGTATACTAATATAACAAAAAGTATATAATTGATTGCCATCAATGCAGGAAATCATTAAGGGAGCTCTCTCATATAACTATTATTTGTATCCTGCACTTCACCGCCAAGCCCAGTTCTCTAGTTGGTCCTTGTCAGGTTCGGAGAAGCAGAGCCTTATGCTACTTGGGCTAGTATTGAAATTATGTATGGATACAGCACTCCCAAGTGGGTGGGCTGAATTCAACTAAATAGTTAAAACGATTGGGAGCCAGAGCAATGAGTCCTGATAGCACAATGAGGCTTTCTTCCATCTCCTGCCCCCCATTGGCTCTGTGCAGTTGGGAAAACACCCAGAACAGTGCATGAGGGGAGTGGAAGGGAAGAGAAGAGAAGAGGAGAGAATAGAAGAGAAGAGGTTGTTCCATCCAGCAGCAGAAATGCTAGCACTGACTAAGGGCAACTCCTTAGTGTTACTTTAAATCCCACCCATAATTTTTGTACACAAGGCTTGGATGGAAAGTTGCATTGAAAAAATTGGGGAAGTGCAACTTTCGATGGTTGTCTTTTTTCTTTTCTTGGATTATTTTGCAAAGTGTTCATTAGGTCAGTTTGCCTTTAAATGTGAAGTGGGTCTTCTTTTTTTACCATTCCTACAAGTGGGTTACCCAAATCACTTGAATTAAGTCCAACTGGCCATGGTTATTTTGGATCAGGTACAGACCACTCGTGTAAATGCAGGTTATCTTATGAGGAAGACAGTATTTGTACTGTTCTCTAGGATTTTGTGCCATGTTACAATTCAGATTCATATAAGCACCACCTTAGATGAATGGAAATGAAGTTATCATTCTGTGTCGTTCTTCCATTTTAAAATAGCCCCTCTGGAATAAATTTACTTTTGTTAAATCAAAGTTTATCCTTTATTTTGTGTTTCAGTGGAGACAGATTTATTTAAGAATTTAGATTCTGTTTAAGTCACCATAATATTGAATAAATTAAAAGGTATACCATAAAGAGAAGCACCCAACTCCCCCACCCCCAAGTTTTTAAATTACAAAATTTGAAAAGCTTCATCTATCAGAACGTGACATGGCATGATCATTCCTCCTGTAGTGTGAACGCTGCACAAAAGGCCATGCATCTTCTCCAATAGCCTTAATCTATGTGCTCAAGTTCATGCTATAGCAAATTGATGCCCAAGCATCCAACTGCTCACCCCTTAAATGATCAAAGCCCTTGCAACAGAGGCTCATGTTTATTGAATATTCAATCTGAATGTAGCAGAGAAATCGGGTGCTCCCCACACTCTAGCAGAGCATTCTTTTCTGCTGGGAACTTGTACTGTAAGTCTAAATCTCAGCTGAGAATTTGACTCTGTGTGTGTGTGTGTGTGTGTGTGTGTGTGTGTGTGAGAGAGAGAGAGAGAGAGAGAGAGAGAGAGAGAGAGAGAGAGACTTGTCAAGAAAGCCCTCACATGTATCATCAGTTTCCAACACTGGAATTCTAGGGCTCATAGTCCTAAGAAAGAAAAGACAGTCTGCCAAGCCCTGGATAACACCTTCTACCTTGGAGAGCATCACTAGTTCAGTAGGTGGTATTCAACAAAGTGCTTCTGCTAACAGAAGGACTTTTGGCTGGGCAATGGAACTCCCCGTCCCTCACCTCTCCCTGTGTGCCCCACGAATCTGTTTTGGGGGTTCTCAGAACCCTCTGGTGTTGCAAACACTGCCCAGTGTTTGCAACACCATTATTATAGCAGTCAGCATTTGAAGTTGCAATTTAAACAATGTCAAAGAACCCAAGACAATTAAAGGCGTAATAGGGAGGGGAATTTAAAATGGGTTTAAAGAAACCCACATAGTAGACATCTTAAATAATAATAAAATGTCTGGTCTAAAACAAAAGGGTTAACCGTGTTGGCAAGGCAGCAGTCCAGGAGGGACATATAACCGTATATGTCATGGTAACTAACTTCAAAAGAAATACTGCAGCAATCATGGGGCTATTAAACAGATTTCAACTGAGACCAATATTTTTGAGTGGCAAGGACTGTGATTCCAAGCTGGAAAGGACTTGACTCTTGGCTGTTTATCCCCCAAATGTACAGTGTCTAAATAAAACATTTTCACTACCATGACTTCTTTTAGATTTTTTTTGGGGGGGGGCATGGAATAGATTTCTACTGACAGTTCCCTATGTAATTCTTACCTTGAAACTGGGCATTAAATCCTTTCCGCCTGTGATTACTGTCAGAAGTGAAATGGAGCCGTAACCAGTTTTTGCTGCTGATAACAGGAGAGGGAAGATTCATGCCTGTCAACCTAGGGAGAGAAAAAAATGTGGCATTGAAAAGTGAAGCAAAAACTCATTAGGCTCATTACTGCGTGCATGTGAAGATAATGCATACGTAGTATTAATAAAGATATACAATTAAATACAGCAGTCTGGACATATTATACTTAATCTCTATCATAATGGACTATGCTGACACTGCTTAGCTTTTTCTTTTTTATTAAAGGTTTTACACAGAAGCCACATATACATTTCATGCCATACAGAAGTAGAGTTGATGTATGGGCAATTTGAGCTTCCCAATACCTCTCAAAACAATAGGTTTTCATCTGAGACATGGCCTAACAATTCAAAATTGGTTACATATAATTTTCAAACATTTTGACTGTAGTAGTAAAGCAATCAGAATGATTACATCAAGTTGACTGTACGTAAGTCATTCAACCACCCTTACCCCTATCAATAAGCACATCGTGTTATGCAAGTTATGTTTATGGGTCAAACATTCATATGGCGAATGCCTAGGAAAACAGGTCAAACTTGAAAATCAAGGGATACTGAGTGACTTCTTTTCCAAGAGGAACACATGCATGCTCTTATTGTTGAGTGTCCAACACAATAGTCTTTGTACCTCAATTCCATATATCCGCAGAGTATGTGTGCAGATAGTCCTTGCACCAGCATGCTCACTTCCTGAAGCATCATCTCTCTTCCTTATAATGAAGCACTAATCACACCTCAGTAGGTAGAACATGAGACCCTTAATCTCAGGGTTGTGCGTTTCAGCCCCACGTTGGGCAAACGATTCCTGCATTTGCAGAGGGTTTGACTAGATGACCCTTCTAGTCCCTTCCAACTCTGCAGTTTTATAATTCTACGATTCTAACAATTGTAGGAGTCCTTTGCCCCGGTACACACACAGTATAAAGGTGATTGGTTAAATGGGTGTGTCCAATGATGGGGGGGGGGAGCTGAACCTATACAGTTGGAGAAACAAAGTTTAAATTTAAATTAAAAACTTTGGGTTGGATCCAGAGCAGCTGTCTCCATATAATAAGCCACCTTCATCAAAAGAAGCTGCTGATAAAATGCATTATCCAACATACAATGTTACCATCAAATATTATATGGTCACAGCTGTGGTCCTTTGTAAAGGGTGAGATGGCTGAATCACATTCCACAATTACATAGAGAAATTGAGGGGGGGGAAAGCATAAATTCTACAGCTTAGAAAATTGTTCTAAATAGGGTGGTTAAGTCCAGCCTGTTAATAAGAACATTGTTCCACTTGTTGGCACCAATTTTTCTGCTTACCTTGAGGAGAAAATAGCTCACATTCCCTGTTAAAGCAAATGATGGCAAGATCCCCAGAGCACCATCTACCCACATCTTGTGAGATTGGTTTTGAGTTGCAAACCTGAGAATGTGGACAAGACATTTGCAGTGATCTGGCTGACTCTTGCCCATCTTGGCTTGTGTGATCTAGTCAAGGAGGGCTTGACAGAGTGGTTCCAGGAAATGGCTAACGATTCTTTGCAGGAGGGGTGGAGCTGACCACTTCAATGGAAGTAGCAACCTCCTGGACCCAAAGATATTAGATAACTACTACTCAGTTGGTAGCTGGGCAGCTGCACCGAGATGTAGCTGAACATCTAAATCTTTTTCAATCCAGTTTCTGGCTGCTTCAGCCCAGAAGTTGCCTCTGTCCTCCTGAATATGGGCCTTTATTGTCATAGCCCTGTCCGAGTCCCTTGAGAGCAGAATCCACATACAAAGTCAGACAGTCCAGAGGTCAGAGGGTCCAGGTGATCACAGAGCCAAGGATCTAGTTCAGAGGTCAGGAAGTCCAGATGGTCACAGAGCTAAGGATCCAGATGGAGAGCAGGAAGCAGCAGTGCAGGGCCAGGAACTACAGGCATTTTTTTCTAGCATCTGACTGCTGCTTAGGAAAGACTAAGCCAGCTGGTACTCATCAGTGCCTTCTCCTTTGTGAAGGCTGATCGGTTTCAGGTGGAGTCACTCTGCCTTCACCCACTTCAGGCTGCTGTTCAGCAGGCAAAGATGACTCCTGGCCCATGACATTTATCATGAGAAGTGGAATGCCACCTTGATGGTTGTCTATGATCCCTTGGTGGTTTTTGATATTGTGGACAATGGTATACCCTTCTGGAGAGACTCTGTCAGTTGGGGGTAATATGTGACAATGGATCCACTCCTGTCTCCAGATTTGCTACCATTGTTTGGCACAGTGGCAATTGTGTTGTGGGGTTCAACAGGGTTCTGTCTTGTCTCCCGTCCAATTTGATACCTTTAGGATGGGGGGAGTTACCTGGGGATTAGGAGCAATGTTCCATCAGTATGCTGATGACACCCACATCTATCTCTCCATTCCATCTGAACCAGGAGAGACAGATGTGCTGGGGCCAGTGTTGAGATGTTGGGGGGTTCAGGTGTATTAAGTGAGTTGGCAAACCTGTAGCAAATTGTCTCTGACTACAGAAAACCAGAAATAAAATATTAAACCACCACCAAAGCTAAAAGGTATGAAAGGTCACACCGTCCCCACAAGCTTAAGACGGCTTTGCATTACTTCCTTCAAGAGCAGACTGCCCTCCATTTTTTGTCTTCCTATCTGACCGAGAAGCCTACTCATCAGGTGTTGGGAAAAATTAGCCAACCAGGCCACCCACCACCTCACACCAGTTTTTATCCTCCTTTAAGAGACGGCCTCTGTCTTCTTTTGCTGCCTGTAACCCATATAAGCCATCAGGAAGAGCCTGGAGGTTTACAGCCCCTTATCAGCTGCAGCTGCAGGTTCCTTACTCATGAGCAAGCAGTCAGCCTAGCATCTTTTTTGTCACACTTGTCCCTACTGAGCCTTGCTTTTGATTACAAGCTAATGCTAACAGTGTGCCTTGCAACCATGGCTTACTTCCTTTCAATTAAAAGCATGTCCTTGAGGGAGTAAATAAGATTAACACATCTCCCTCTTTGTCGAATATGGCTCGGTCCATCAAACATTCACCCTGCAAGCAAAAACACTGATCTGACTTGACTCTGTGCTGTGGAAGCTAATTCACCTCTCGGTGTCTCTGTTTCTCTTCATCTCCTGCTGGTATAAAATGAACAAATTCCCTTCCTTCTTTCTTAACCTAGGGTACTTTTGCTTACTATGTACTTGGCACTGTGGTTAATATAATGAAGTCATGACCTCCTTTGGGACTTGTAGGCATACTGAAACCAATTCACAAATACATAAACCCAGACACGATTAAATAATGTAATAAATCATCTACATGGACTGTTTGCATGGCAAAGCCTAAGATTAAACAGGATTTTGTGCTTGGAAGATGGAACCCTATTGTCATAATGTCCTCCATTTTGTGTCCACATTGCCCACAATGACTGCATCTATGATGTCTCCACCCCAGCCCCCACTTCTTATACATTATGCTTTGTTATTTTGTGTTTACAGTATATTACAAAATTATGTTTAGTGGGCCCAAAGGCATTTCTGGCAGCACATAACAATATGTTCAAACTGTCAGAACTTTCTGTGTGCCTTGATCCCTTTTATGGCTGCTTTCCCAGGACCAGGGAATTACTCTGCAGATGTTTTCCTCTGCTTTCCTTTAATGATATGCCCAATACGAAATCTATCTGTAAAGGGCAGACAGAAATAACACAGGTCAGAGGAAAATGCATAAAAATAACGCAGAAGAGTATTATGCAGTATTTCATAGACTCATAGGATTTATTTATGCAATTTATATTCCACCTGTGAATGGACTAGACAAGGTGGAAAATACAAAGTAACTACTCTGTATAGCATAAACCCAAGACCTTACTTCTGGCAAGTCTATGTAACGCATATATTAACATAAACTAGGTTGAATTAACTAAAGGAAAGGAAAGAAGCACTAGAAAGTAAGTTAGTCATTTAGTTAGATTTACACCCTCCTCTTCCTTCCAAAGCAGCCCAGGGCAGCAGCAGGTTCCCTCTAAATCTCAGGAGGAACCACCAACTTTGTGGAAGAAAAGGCCCATGTGATGAGGGACTGCTGCTGGCCTGGGAGTTTCACTACTCCATTTCCCAGCAATCTGCCTTATACTGAGTCGGACCATTGATCCACCTAGCTCAGTATTGTCTACACTGACTGCTATGAGCACACCAGGCTTTGGGACAAGGGACATTCCCATCCCTATCTGGAGATGCTGGGGATTTGACCTTAGACCATCTGCATGCAAAGCCACTGAGCTACGTCCTCTTCCCTGGAAAAGACAGACACTGGCTGCCAGGACATCTCTTATCCCTAGAGAAGGAAGCAACAAGCGCCCTTCGACTCCTTTGTTTACTCTCATCCTTTTCCTACTTCCACTCTCTTGCTTACTCCCATCTGGGGTGATGCTCCCAGCTGCTCCTCCATGTACTTGGCTGGAACAGTGTCACTCTCCAGAGAGGCTCAGCTGGTGCTCTCTCTCTTTTCTTTTTGGCATCAAGTGCAGACCTTTGAGATCTATCTGTTTTAAATGAATTTTTAATACTGTCGTCGTCCCCCCCCCCCCGCTCTGCTGTGTCGTTTTAATGTTATCTGATTTTACTCTAACTTCGTTTCTGATGTATGTTGCTCTGAAAGCCCTTGATTGAGTAGCAAGCACATACAAATACATAAATATATACATTTAAAAAAAAAAAGATGTGGGCCACACTGAAGAAGCAAACAGCTTGGTGCATGTGCCTATTGGGTTTTGCTCATGCGTTTCCTGTATCTCACTGTGTCTGACTAGAACACACATTGGATATTAAGAACTCACAGGAGTTTTAGAAACAGTGCAGAAGATAGAATGGTCATTATCTGTTGTTCCAGGACTGTTGGTAGCATTCTCTCCATGGTCTGCAATAAATATCCCCATTTTTAAGTTACTGAGGAAATATATGATCTGTCTGTTCATAAATTGGAGGGGTTTAATACTTCTCCATTTTAATTTTTTATTTTACTCCCTTCACATATAAAACTGGTACACCAGG